TTGAAGTTGGCTTCATATTGCATACGTATGGTTGGTATTGAGGCATGCTGTAAGGATTGAAGTTTAATGGAAATGATGCTGGAATTGTTGATTGAATTGAGGTGAAATATTGGCCGAAAATCATGGCGTTGGGTATTGTGGAAATGGTTGGTTGCCTCAATTGTGTTCCTCATATGAGGACTTTGAAGGATTGTATCCGGATGGATCATCTATGGTGTTCTTTTTTTGTTCTGTAGTGTAGATTTCAGAAATTTGTGGTCCATGCGTATGCTTGTGTCCATATTTGTAGAATAAAATTTATGTGAGAACTATGCTACAGGTCACCAACGGCTACTTGGCATGACAACCGTTCGGAAGGGCAACGGTCGAGTGAACAGTACTCTAACATGCTACATGTCACCAACGGCTAGTTGGCATGACAACCGTTCGGAAGGGCAACGGTCGAGTGAACAGTACTCTAACACGTCCTTTTTTATTGCTCGCACCGGGTGCCCAATGCTAGGATAGCACCGGCGCTCCAACGTGATGCACCTGTTTTTCTTATTTCTCAATCCTGCTAGCACCTCCTTAGCAAGTACGCTGGAGCTGCCCTAAGAAATGATGAAGCGGAGTGGGAGGGGAGAGGCTCTAAATAGAGGAAGAAAACTGAAGCTAGGAGATAAAGCTAGCTAGGAGATTTTGTTCAGCAGTTGAAGGACAGCTCTCGTCCGTGTGCACGCATCGACCTCTCGTTCTGCAAAGTGCAAAGTACTCCAGGAATCTACTAGAATTCTAGGGAGCTAAATTATTCCCTCCAGTCAAGAAAACAATACGCTTTCAGACATGGTGATTGCTTTAACGCTTTAGTTTGCTTTGTTCATGGCACTGGTGTCAAGGAAAATAAAATTGATCGGTATCCGATCCTTGCTGGGCAATTTCTGTCCATGAATTTCGATCGATGAAGGGAGTTTAATTACGTGTAGGTAATTTTAATCATACGTGCATATTTTTTAAAAAAATATCGTTTGTCATTACTGATTTGTGGTTTCTTGTGAGCACTGCTATCTTCATTCTCTTTTAACGTAAAAGTATCTGACCAATAATTTAGCTAATAATTCGTAATTATATAATACAAACTTAGATTTATAATTAAATACTATACTACCTATTATGATAAATTTATAAATATAATACAAATAAACGGTGAAAATGTAATTTGGAGGATCGTGTTAATTTGGTATCAAACTGTCTTATAAGAGATGATACGATATAGTAGGCACCAAACTTGGTGCCACGACGTGTCACTTCATTCGGCGCCGAAATGCGAACTCGATGCTATGCAGTTGCACTGCATCACCATTATTGCTAGAAAGTAAAAAGTTCACCGGTCCTTTTGGGGGCACGTCAATACATCGTTGTACTTGATATTTGATAGCAACAAATAAGCTTCTCCGGTGAATCTCGTCAATACTGGTTTCTTGCAAAGCAGGAACTAAACGTGCCAGAATAAAATTAAGGGTCCATATCTAAACACATGTATAATAAGATTTAGAGTGACTTAAGTTGAAGATAACTCAACTGGAAAAACGGCCACCAGTTGTAACTATTCACTCTTCAACTAGCTCCCTAATGCCTAAATGGAAATAGTTACATGTTGCTGTGAAAAATGTGTTTGTGTGCATGTATTTGATCGACTTAAAGAAGTACTTCCTCCAGTCCAGCTTGTAAAACGCGCACATTTTTCGACTATTATAATACAAACTTAACACTACAATTAGGTTGTAAATGCCCCGTTCGGCTTGCTGAATCTTGACTCAAATTAGCTAAAAAACACTGTTCTGCCTGAAATATTACGAGAGAAAAATACTGTTTCGACTGAAAAAAGAAGCCGAACAAGCCGGATATGGGGTAAGCCGAACGGGGCCAATTAGGTTTACAACAAAACGCTACCAAAATGGTGGACTTCTCCTAGTATTTTTAAGTAGTAATAAAACACTACCACTAGTCATAGCACATGAGAATCTCACTATGAGGCATTTAGTAGAAAAAATTAATACTAAATTTTGAATGCTAAAACACTATGAGAAGCCCACCTCAATAGGATAAGTCTAAAATTTTGGTTGTGAAATATACTAACTAAGAATTATAAGTTTACAACCAATATAATATAATATACTCCCCCCGCCCCCAAAAAAGTGATGTTCCGTGATTTAAAATTTGTCTCAGAAAAAATGATGTTTTGAGTTTTAGACACGTTGTTGGCCCACAGATTCGGCGCAAAATTACCAATTGAGATGTGCTATTGTTTGTTGCCTGCCCCGGATATCTGCATGCTTACATGCAACGCGTCTTAATTAGGAAGTAAACCACGCGACATCCTTTCTTTTAAGGGAATTATGTGTGACATAGTAAGAGTATTAGAAACATTTCTCTTCTCCACTAATCTGTCTGAAAAATCTTAGAACATCATTTTTTTTTTTGGAGACGGAGGGAGTAATATAAATGAATGAGCAAATTGTAATTTAGGAACGTGGCATGTAAGATTATACAGTACCTTATAAACTGGACCGGTAATTTGTTCTGTGCAGCACTTGCACGTCCAAACGTCAACGTCTTGTTTAATTTTGCATGGAGGTAGTAATAATTAGCCTTCGGGGTTAATGTACTTTATGGAGCGACTAATTAAAGACGTTCCTGGGCCCAAAGCTAGATCACTCACTATTCGCCCTACTGTCTGGTGCCGGGCGAATACTGTTCATTCAGATATCGTCTGCCGGGAATGGAACTCGTGTATCCAATGAGTGGACGGGGAACTCTTGCCGGGAATGGAACGATGAGCCTTTGCTCAGCCAGTGAGGAGCTGGAAGATTCGTGGAAATAAACCAGCATCGATCCAACCACTACACCCACCATTATTCTTTCCTAGGGCCTAGGCTAACTAGTTCCAAATCTGTGTAATGCAGTCACTCTCATCATACTCCATTATTCGTCGATGGAATAATACATATCCCAGACTCTAAATTCTAAGATACATATATATGGCTAAACCTTTTACAATGAGAATTTTATGGTTCATCAAAGGTAAATAAAAAAGAAGTACCTCAGGTACTTGGAACCTTTTATCGATGTGAGTGGATTACGTACAAAGTACAGTACGTCAGTTGAATACATTGACCGCAGTTGTGAGAATCTGAGGCCTTCTCAATGAGCTGAGGCTATTGACGTTGAAGATTGGTTCCTATCGATGACAGGTCGGTGAGGGAATCAAGATGGCCCATACTTTGGCGATCTTGACCCTATGGTGCATCTGGAGGAAAAGGAACGCAGCGGTCTTTACGAACTCCACATGTACGGCAAGGCAGGTGTTCACTATGATCAGAGATGAGTGCTCTCTGTGGGCTCTTGCCGGAGGAAGGGTCCTGAGGCCTCTAACAGTTGCAAATAATATAGTGAGTAATTAACTTTTGTACTCTAAACTGCGCGTCTCGCTCACTCTTTTCTCTCTTATTAACATAAGCAGGGTAACCGGCTCTTTAAAAAAAAACCATCATTCATGAATACAACAACCATCATTGAACATTTATCAGCAACTCAGCATCACTAGTGTAGCAGGATTTTCGTTTCAAAAAAAAAACATCGTTTTAAAAATAGTGTAGCATGAAGCGCTAGCTTATTGATTGACTGCACCTCCATTTTAATTTTTAATTTCATGTACGTGACCTCGGCGGCTCTGGAGCTTCTCCTTGACGTCCTGCACGGTGTCGAAGTAGCCCACCTCCATCTTGAAGGCCTCCTCGCCTGAGCACACGAAGGTCACGTCCATGTCCAGAGGTACCGATCAAGGTCCTACTCCTACCTTAGTACCAGCAGGCTAGCGGCAGCCATGGACATGGCCCGGCATAAATGCCATGGACGGAATGCACTACTTGTGACTCTCGGATCCATCTCCTCAATCTGTTGGTTAGCCGCAAGGATTTCCAGTGACCAGTGAGCACTGACCATGATGAGGCGCCATTTAAAAAAAAAAAAGGAAGTTCTATTCCAATCTCTACATAAGTTATGCATTTGATGAGGTGCCGTTGCCCATTGGCCTTCAGAAGTTCAGATAATCAGACTGTTCTCATGACAGACACTTGGACAGTTGTACTGTTGTTCTTGCATATGCCATGCAAATGAGGCTATTGTGACACTGTCCTTACCTTCATCCCTACCCTCACAGGATTGGCATGCTCCTAGATTGTTCGGCGCGCCGTTTTCTGCTGCAGTACCCTAGCGCAGGAGGGAGCATCTCATGTTCCCATGAGCAGCTTGTGACAGAGCACATTTCTTTTGCCTGGTGCTCTGTCTCTGCTGGAAACACGTTTTTAACGAAACCTAAGGGGTCACTCATGTCTCGCGCCTTTCGGTCCTTTGGGCCCGTCGGATCATAAAATACATCTCACATAAGTTGCCTTACAGTTCAGAGCCCAATCCCATACGGTGGAGGCCCACACGTTTCCTCTTGTGAGGTTAACCTTCTTTCTATTAGAGGAGTATATAGAATGATGGCCGGCAACTTGAAGACAACAAAACAACTCCTTGTCTCCTTCCGACCTCCCCGCAACAACATCGCCGGATAGCAAAACCTTCCGTCGGAGGATGGCTTCCACCGGCGCTGGAGAAGGCAACAAGACGGCTGCTGGGAGCAGCCTCCACAGCAAGACCCTCCTCAAGAGCCAATCACTGTACCAGGTAACCCATCCGAAGCACCAAGCAATGTTTCATCCCACGAGACTTCATAACCGCTCGTCGGCGATTACCTTTCTTCGCTTCGTCTAGTACATACTGGAATCCACCGTGTTCCCGCGCGAGCCGGACTGCCTGCGGGAGCTTCGCGTCGCCACCGCCACCCACCCCATGTGAGTCACGCCCACGGATCCGCTAGCTGCTCGTTCCGTGCGTTGGCCTGCGCTCGGAGCGCTTCTTGCACGGTACGTGTTTGACGTCTGTCCGGATGCGCTGAGACGCGCTGCAGGGCTGGCATGGCGGCGTCGCCGGACGAGGTGCAGCTGCTGGGGCTCCTGATCGAGATCCTCGGCGCCAAGAATGCCGTCGAGGTCGGCGTCTTCACCGGCTACTCGCTGCTCGCCACCGCCCTCGCCCTCCCTGACGATGGCAAGGTCAGTGCGTGCGTGACCACTTCATCACTGCGACTTTCCAATCTGTTTGTGTTGGGTGTCGCGCGCGGCGTGATCCTTGTTGTATTGTATCCTTGGTCGCCGTGTCTGGCGCGGCAGATCGTGGCCATCGACGTTACCCGCGAGAGCTACGACCAGATAGGATTGCCGGTGATCCAGAAGGCCGGCGTGGCGCACAAGATCGACTTCCATGTCGGGCTCGCGCTGCCCGTGCTGGACCAGATGGTGGCCGAGGTGAAGAGAAGTTACACACAACCGCATCCATGTGCAAATGTTCTCGCGGTGCAGAGATGATGCCGGCCGCTGCGATTTTGTCTTGCAGGAGGTGAACAAGGGCTGGTTCGACTTCGCGTTCGTGGACGCGGACAAGGTGAACTTCCTCAACTACCACGAGCGGCTGCTGCAGCTGATCAGGGTCGGGGGCCTCATCGCCTACGACAACACGCTGTGGAGCGGCTCGGTGGTCGCTTCCCCCGATGAGCCGCTCGCCGCGGCCACCAGGGAGTTCAACGTCGCCATCGCCGCCGATCCCCGCGTGCACGTCTGCCAGGTCGCCATCGCCGACGGGCTCACGCTGTGCCGCCGCGTCGCCTGATCCGTATGCGGTTGCCCGCCCCGAAATGCAGAGCTGTGGGCTACTGGGCTGTGGCTGTGGCTGTGGCGCTGTGCTGACACTGCTCTGTACTGGAAATGGCCATGGCTTGTAGTGTAATAACGAACTGGTCTTGAGCGAAAATAAATCGACCAGCGCGCGCCTGCGTGTGTCATCAATCATCACGCTCAATCTAATGGCCGGTTGGCTGGGGGGCGGCAGGCCAGCGACGCCAGACGCCGGTGACGAGCCGGCACCTTCTTCCCGGCGGCGGGTGCCATTGGCGCTGCACGGGCGACGTGTATGCGGCGTTGCTTACCACAATTACCCCTGCTCCCATTGTTTCAAAAAAAAAAAACAATTACCCTTGCTCCTGGGCCGTGAATGCGTTTCTGTAGTTGGTCCCCGAGTGAGCGGAGCGGCGGCGAGCCCAATCACTTCTTCGTGCGGCCCGATTGCCGTAACAGCCGGCGGCCGGTGACCGGTGAGTGGTGACCCGGATTCTGCATGACGCCGGCTAGTGTGTACTTTGTAGGGCCCGCCAGCTAGGACACGGGTCCCACACAAAGAACTAGCCGCGTACAGCGAACACCACAACGATAAGGGGAAAAATCAGCCTTTTTCTGGTTTGTTTAGGTATACCCCGTTCGCTTATGCTAAAATTTAGTTTATATTGATATTTATATTGAAATATTATGAGAGAAAAATATTGTTACATGACTAAAAGTATTCGGGTCTATTCGGCTGTTCTGGATCGGCTGGCTTAGTTTATACTGATACTTATATTAAAATATTATGAGAGAAAAATATTGTTACATGACTAAAAGTATTCGGGTCTGTTCAGCTATTCTGGATCGGCTGGCTGGGCTGGCTTGGCTGGTCAATCAGCTGATTTGAATCAGCCCAGCACAAGCCAGCCAACCAGCTGTTGCTGCACTTTGATTTCAATGAACTGGATTCAAATCAAATTATGACGCCAATGAAGCATAGTTGGCGCCAACTCTCAGGCCCATTCAAAAACATATCCATCAACAAGTAACAACGCTGTTGCTGCACTTTGATTTCAATGAACTGGATTCAAATCAAATTATGGCGCCAATGAAGCATAGTTGGCGCCAACTCTCAGGCCCATTCAAATACATATCCATCAACAAGTAACAACGTTAACACATACAAATTAGTACCAACCAGTTATAATACCATTTTATTATATCTCACTCAAATGTGCTTCCAAGGACATTCGAATAACACTTCATTACCACAACAGTGAACCATTCAAATGTGCCCCCAAGTCAAACCTGCTGCATCTGGATGCATCTCATTCTCAGCTAAGTGTGTTCCTTACCTTGCTCTATAGTTTCTATCAGCATGGGGAGCCCCTCCATTTCTTCTGTGCTGGGATTGGATGATATGTGGCCAGACGTATGGGACTATTTGACTGTCCACACTTCCTTAGGCACACTACACCTACCTCGTGGTAATCCTGGGTGGGTATCCAAAACTCAGGTGCGTCCTTTATGTTCCAAACAATACGCAGGGAAGTATATTACTAGCAATCCATCATGGTATAATATGATTCTGCATGAGAGTGCATATACAAGAATTACCTTCATGATTCTAGCAAGAACTGTACCTCCCAGGTACACCATGTGCTTTCTCCGAGGAGGATCCTCTATCCGCAGTCGTAATTTCTATGCACAATGAGAGGCAATGTGTCACAAGTTGGAAACAGAGAGCAAACGCTAATACTGAGAAGAATGCATTTCCTTTCAGAAAGTGTATTTGGATTGTTCTGTCTATGAGTTCAATAAGTTTATGCACTTATATATTCTATTTGTAAGAATAACATAGAAGAATAACAAGTAACAACATTAACATATACAAATTAGTAGCAACCAGTTCTAATACCATTTCATTACATCTCACTTAAATGTGCTTTCAAGACCATTAAAATAACACTTCATTATAACAGCAGTGAACCAATCAAATGTGCCCCAAGACAAACCTGCTGCATCTGGATGCATCTCAATCTCAGGTCAGTATGTTCCTTACCTTACTCCATAGTTTCTGACTGAATGAAGTCTTGTATGCAAAGATGTTGTACCAAGAGCAATCAAAGTATCCTTTATCTTGACCATCTGTACAAACCATAAGGTATTGTTTGGGAGCATGGGGTAGAATTCTCATTTCTCAATGAGACTTCTACAAATAAGACAAGATGCAGTGCTTTTCAGCCAGTAAAAGCCGAGGGTACTTGCACGCCAAGAGCCTTGGCTCTGGTGGCGAGTTCCTCCCCCACATCTGGCTCCAATTTGCAGTAATTACAACAACTCATTCGAATCCCTAAGATCGAATTACAACAATTCATTACAGCAGTACATTCATGAGTTGTCCATAACACTACTACTTGTCCATAACTTGTAGGAGTTGCACAAAACATTTGCAACACCTACAACAACATGCGCCTTCTAATACGCGCATGTTTTCCATGTACAACATCAACCTACATTGGCATACAATCCTACAATTTCTAATTGGTACCATTCCAGTACACTAGCCTACTAACCTAAGTGGTATCTATACAAAAATTGTATCCTTTTCTAGGAACATAATTAAGCATGAAGGCAGTTCCCAATGGGTATAGCACCTCTGCACAATCATTGTCCCCCGCTGTCAAAAAAAAAAAAACCCAGACGATTCCATCAAATCGCCGGGGCTCGAGGGGCTACACCCGCGGGTGCGCTCGCGCGCACCCGCTGTTAAAACGAAAACCCCAGACAATTCTACCCGAATTGTCCGGGGGCTCGGGGGCTCCTGTCGGGTTTATAAACCCGGGGTCCCTAATGGACTTGCTTCCCAGCAAAAGCTCGGCCCAGCAGACAACGTTGCGAATGACGCGCAACTCCTGGACCGGCCCAGATACCTAACGACAAACCGGAAGGCCTGGCTAAGGAGGGCCGACGCTCGCCTCCGACTCTAGCCCGCCTCTCCGACCGGAAGGCCTGGCCAAGGAAGGACGACGCTCACTTCCGACTCTGGCCTGCCTCTCTAACCGAAAGTCCTAGCCAAGGAAGGACGACGCTCGCTTCTGACTCTGGCCCACCTCTCCGACCGGAAGTCCTGGCCAAGGACGCTCGTCTTCGACACCGGCCCGCCTCTCCAACCGGAAGGCCTGGCCAAGGAGGGACAACGCTCGCTTTGACTCCGGCCCACCTCTCCGACCCAAAGGCTTGGCCAAGGAGGGACGACGCTCACCTCCGACTCCGACTCACTTCTCCGACCAGGAGTACACCGAACCTCTGCTTATGGCTCTTCTCCGACTGGCACGGTCGGAGCCATCTGGGAAACAACCAAACGGGGACGCCCGCTCAGTAAGGACCCAAAGAATCAGGCGGAGCAAGTAAGGCAGGGCGCTGAAGTCAAACCGCAATACCGAGGACTGTACCCTGCACACCTGTAGGACAATACTGTCGGGTCATGTCAGAAGGGTACTTTATAACCTTCCAGACATGTCAGAACACAAACAGTTGAAAGGTCCTAATGGCTAGAGGGGGGTGAATAGCCTATTAAAAATTTCTACAACAACACTTAACAAACCGGTTAGACAATTATGAGGCGAAGCAAGTGTTACGCTAGCCTACTAAAAATGCAATCCACCTACCACAATTCTAGTTTATATAGTTTCTATCCACACAATAGCTATGTCACTACACTAAGTTAATATGCTCTCAAAGGCTAACTAAAGAGTCACACTAACCAAACTAACAAGCTCTCACAACTAGCTACACTAAAGAGCTTGACAACTAGTTTGCGGTAATATAATGAGAGAGAGCAAGATAGTTATATCGCCGTGTCGAGGAGTGAACCAATCAATCACAAGAATCAATATCAATGAAGACCAATCACCTCAGAATCAAATGATGAACACAATGATTTTTTACCGAGGTTCACTTGCTTGCCGGCAAGCTAATTCTCGTTGTGGCGATTCACTCACTTGGAGGTTCACGCGCTAATTAGCATCACATGCCAAATCCTCAATAGGGTGCCGCACAACCAACACAAGATGAGGATCACACAAGCCACGAGCAATCCACTAGAGTATCTTTTGGCTCTCCGCCGGGGAAAGGTCAAGAACCTCTTACAATCACCACGATCGGAGCTGGAGACAATCACCAACCTCCGCTCAACGATCCTCGCTGCTCCAAGCCGTCTAGGTGGCGGCAACCACCAAGAGTAACAAACGAATCCCGCAGCAAAACACGAACACCAAGTGTCTCTAAATGCAAAGACTCAAGCAATGCACTTGGATTCACTCCCAAGCTCACAAAGATGATGAATCAATGATGGAGATGAGTGGGAGGGCTTTGGCTAAGCTCACAAGGTTGTTATGTCAATGAAAATGGCCAAGAGAATGAGCTTGAGCCGGCCATGGGGCTTAAATAGAAACCCCCACGAAATAGAGCCATTGTACCCCTTCACTGGGCACAACTCGGGGTGACCGGACGCTCCGGTCATATTGATCGGACGCTGGACCTCAGCGTCTGGTCGCCCGATGCATGCCACGTGTCATCGGCTTCAAACGATGATCGCCCGATCTCAACGGTCAAGAGATGACCGGACGCGTCAGTTAGAAAGTGACCGGACGCTGGACCTCAGCGTTCGGTCGTTTCCAGTAAGCATCCAAATAACAAATTTCACGACCGGACGCGTCCGGTCATGCTCGACCGGACTCACCCAGCGTCCGGTTACTCGGTGTCACCTCTGTGCGCTGCCACGTCAGTATGACCGGACGCAAAGGTCCAGCGTCCGATCACAAGTGACCCAGCATCCGGTCAGAGACCGACGCCAGCGTCTTCGCTACTTCCACTGTCCGGACGCAGGACCCAGCGTCCGGTCACTACGTGACCAGTGTTCGGTCACTTATAGTGACCTCCATCTTTTCTGTATAGGGTGTCGGTGGCACCATCGGACTGTCCGCACTCTACGGGTGGACACTCCGCTGG